CGCGTCAGCACTTTTACGCAGGCCTCGACATCCAGATGCGCGGGTCCCCATTTTGGGATGAAGACTATCGCATTGAGAAGGTGCCCGCGCATGTCGACCCTGCGTCGCTCCCGCAGCTTTCGCCTGACTGGTACAAAGCAGTAGGCAACGACTTGGCTGACAGGTACGCCAAGAGAGGCGCGCGGTCACTTCCACAGCCGTCAGAGGCTGAGAAGGAAAGCTGGAAGGAAGAGTCGGAGACCCTGAGGCGTTATTTGCCTTATGCTGTGCAAGCGTTGTTGCTATTCCCAAAAATAGCCCCTTCTAAAGCCATGCGGTCGGTTTTCGACAAATCGCTCCGCGAGGCAGGCTTCATCGCAGGGGTAGGTGCGGCGCGGCAAGTGCTGCCAGACCCAGCCCCACCTCCGCCCCCACCTCCCCCTCCTGGCCTTCATCCTCGGCCAGGTCGCCGCCCGCCAGGCCCGATCAGAGAGCGCGATTGGGCTTGGAAGCGCAGCAGATGGGTCTGCCGCGTATGCTTGACATTTTCCAGAGGAGTCAACAAGCCGGAACCGACAGTGAGCCCGTGCAGAGGCCACAGCGTAGCTTTCACCCAGCCGGTGCAAAATCCTCGGAAACACATTCAGCATGTTTCCAATGATGCACTTGGGGTGGTATTCATTCGCAGCCGGTGCGGTGCTTACTCGGAGTCGGATCCAATTGTAAGTTGAGGTTTCCTTCGCACGGCGCCAGGGACTCTTGGCAGAGATTTTCCCGGCGGCAACACCCCAACTCAAAGAGGGGCCCTGCCCAGTGCTTGGAAGAATATTTGCCGGTATCGGCATTGCTTCAGCCGTAACTCATTTCCCCCCCTCGCCCTCCGATTGGACTGTTGCTACGCAGCTCGCCGCTAGTAACATGCTCTCTCATTGTTGTCGTCAATCGCTGCTGTCCCCATCGCACGCCGAGGCGATGACGCGGGGCACAGGGGAACGGACAACTGGGGAACCGCCCAGGGAAACGGACAACTGGGGAACCGACTTGTCCCCAATGACTCGCCTAGTTCATCGTCCCCGAAACCCGAAGGGGTTTTGAAGGTCGGAGATGCCCCTCGCCGTGAGCCTTCCGGGGGTCGCACCCGATACGAAACTCTCGAAGTTCGTGTCCCCCCAGTCTTGGGCAGAGGGCCTGCGGGAGGCGCGCCGGCCTCAGCAGGTATGGCCCCAGGACGCGTTCTGGGCCAGCTTGTTCTCTCCGCCGCATCGTCCATGCCAGCAGGAGGTGAGGAAAACATCGTCTCTCAGATGGTTATGCGACCGCGGGTCGAATCGTATTCTTCGGCGCGCGATCCCCTTGCCTGCCGTCGCGTCGCGATGTGTAACCGTTGGGGCACGCAGCTCAGAGGTGGCGTGAGGATACGTTGGCCACATATTATCTCAGCCACCTACTCCCTTGTTGCACCCTGCCGCACGCGCACGCACTGGCATACAGCGCTGTTTGCTCTATGTCTCATTTCCTTGGCGACTTCACTCCGCCGCATCGTCCATGCCGGCAGGAGGTGAGGTAAACATCGCCTCTCAGCTTGCCGTCGCGTCGCGTCGTGAAACCGTTGGGGTACGCAGCACAATGGTGACGTGGGTTGACGTTGTCCACTTATTATATCAACCACCTACTCCCTTGTTGCACCCTGCCGCACGCGCACGCACTGGCATTCAGCGCTGTATACTCTGAGCCTCATTACCTTGGCGGCCTCGCTCCGCCGCATCGTCCATGCAGTCAGGAGGTGTGGGATCCATCGCCCCTCATTCACACTCACCTCCAGCGTGTGCAGATACGCTCCAATTGCTCTGGCGCACAAGCCGAGTAAGGACGAGCCACGGTCTTCACAACGGAAGTTGCCGATGAAAGGTGTGCTACCCCTCATACCGTGTGCCTACCACGGTCCTTGTACGTGGGGGCACGGTATCAAGGGTGGGTGAGCCCCAGAGCCCCATCCGTCTTCACAGGGTTATGCCTACCCTCAAGGGCATCAGCGCTACACTAGTCCTCCTCCTCCCCCCTCCTCTCCTCCTCCTCCTTCCTCCTCCCTTCCTCCCTCCTGACTCCATCCTCCTCCTCCTCCTCCTCCAGGAGGAGGAGGAGGAGGAGGAGGAGGAGGGTTTCTCCGAGGAAATACAATGGGTCCGAGCACAAGTCCGTGCCCGCACCCTCCTGGCTGGGATGCGCTTGGAATCGCATCCCGGTCCCCCTGATTTGGGACACCGCCCTGGCAGACTCACGACGCTGGCTGCAGCAAACCCTGGTTGACAACCGCGTCTCTCTGGACGGCTTCCAGGCACTCACGCGATGGAGGGACTCGCGGGCTGTCCTCGCCCCAGAAAGCGCCACAGCAGCCCTCAACAGAGCAGCCCAGGAGGCAGGAACACACGTTGCCGCTCCCAGCCCGTACGCCCGTACGGATACATCCACGCCCGCCTCCAAGAATGGGTGATGGAAGCAGGCGGCCATCCTGATGGGCGGGCAGCCCGGCGACGTGTGTGAAACCTACCCGCACATCCCTCACTGGCGGAGCCACCAGACCAGAGGAGCCCCTCGACGATCACGGCGACACTCACATGGGGGATGACAACGCCACACGCACACACACACACACACACGAGGGACGACAACCCTGATACGCGTCACGCCACGATGCAAAACGCCGACCGCATGCCCCAACTCAAGGACGGAGGGCGAGCACCGGTGAGCAACCTGAAAGCGTGCAGGATTGGATGCGAGCACTGCTCAGCGCAGCTGCACGCACCCCTGAGATGCAAGCCGCCCAAGCTGACCCACTGGAGCTCTCAGGGCCCTCCCTATGGGGTCACGAAGCGCTGTACTGGGTGTGGCGAACGCAAGCGGGCACCGCCAATGGGGCCTTCGGTGGAGTTCCCCATGGGGCAACGAAACGCTGTACTGGGTGTGGCGGACGCATGTGGGCACCCCCACTGGGGCCTTCGGTGGAGCTCCCTATGGGGCCACGAAGCGCTGAACTGGTGTGCCGGAATGGGTGTGGTGGACGCATGCGGGCACCGCCACTGGGGCCTTCGGTGGAGTTCCCCATGGGGCAACGAAACGCTGTACTGGGTGTGGCGGAAGCATGTGGGCACCCCCACTGGGGCCTTCGGTGGAGCTCCCTATGGGGCCACGAAGCGCTGAACTGGTGTGCCGGAATGGGTGTGGCGGACGCATGCGGGCACCGCCACTGGGGCCTTCGGTGGAGCTCCCTTTGGGGCCACGAAACGTGTGAGGGTCGTGCCGAAATGGTGGACTTGCGGTGAGCGCAGAGGCAGGGATGGAAGGAGGGAGGAGGGAGGAGAGAAGAAGGAGGGAGGGAGGGAGGGATGGAGGGAGGGAGGGAGGGAGGGAGGGAGGAGGAGGAGGAGGAGGAGCTGAGGAGGAGGAGGCGGAGGCGGAGGAGAAGGAGGGGGAGGGGGACAAGCTAGGTGCGCTCGCGTCATATCTGACATCCTACCCCTCCCTCCCATCCCTTACCATGGCGTAGATCCCCTCTCTACTCGCACAGTCGAATGTCGAGCAGGGCAATGATCCCAGAAGGGTACGCGATGCGTTATGGAGCACTGCATGACATGGCGTAGAAGAGCACCGCAAACCGTAGTATGTCACAGCATGGCGTGGCGTGGCGTAGTGAAGAATTGCATCACAAAGCTTTGCAACGCAAAGCATGGCATCGCACAGCGGCCCCGAACATAACATTGCATAGCATGGTGTTGAAGATCAAAGCGTAGCATGGCATAGAACGACGTGGCACTTAAGCACTGCATATCACAGCTTCAACTGAAGGCATGGCATCGCACAGCGGAACGCAACCTAGCACTGCATTGCATGCCGTGGCATGGCACGGGAAATGACGCCAGCGCTGCAGCGGGAGCACGATTCGGAACGAGCGGAAGCGCGGAAGTGAGGTCAGCGCTGCAGCGGGAGCACGATTCGGAACGAGCGGAAGCACGGAAATGAGGCCAGCGCTGCAGCGGGAGCACGATTCGGAACGAGCGGGGCCCGAAAATGAGGCCGGCGCCTCAGCGAGAGCAGCATTTTGAAAAAAATGCAGGCGAAAACCCAACTCCGGGGAATCCTGTGTAAAAAACAATACGCGGGGGGGGGGGGGGCGAACACTCCCAACCCGTCATCAGGGGAAGGAGCAGAGTAGTATTCATATTGAGTAATTGTGGAGGGGGAGGAGGAGGAAGATGAGGAGGAGGAGGAGGAGGAGGAGGAGGGGAGGAGAGAAGAGGAGAGGAGAGAAGAGAAGAGGACCGCGTGGCGCTGTCTCTGGAAAACGAGGACCCGAACACGACAGTATGGCTGGGAAAACACACACACACATCGTTGGAGATATGGGCTTCACTCCTTTGATTAGGCAAAGCGCTAATCCGCCAGACGTCTGGGCCACCCCCTCGCCCACCCAGGTACAGCAGCGGCGGGCCAGGACGCTCAACTCAACAGACCTCGATCCTCGGTCCTCGATCAACGGCGGCGGAGCCACCGCTGTCGATCGAGGACCGAGGACCGAGGATCGATCGAGGATCGAGGAGACAGGATCGTCGATCGTCGACGGCGGCGTCGGCGTCATCGTCGCCGCCTGGTCGGGGGTTGCGGGAGGTGTCCCTGGTCCAGCATGTCTCCAGCTTGTCGCTCCATTTTGAACCCCTGGGGCCTGGGGGCCCCTGGGCCCCATGAGGGGGCTGCTCTGGACCCACTACCGATGTCATGATTTTCTCATGACGCGGACCCCCAGAGGTCTGGACCCGTTCCCAGAGACCGGATCTTCGTCCCGAGCCGCTCGCGGACGATCCCGAGGCCTGGCGAAGGCCCCTGGAGGCCGAAAACAATCAAGACCAAGACCCTGCCGTTGCAAATTCTCACGACGCGAGGGGGCATGGGATGGCCGTGGGCCAACGACGCCTCCCGGCAGCACCCGGCGCCTGGGCGCCCCCCCCGGGGGTAGCCGCGGCCCTGGCCTTCGGAGCCGACGGAAGGGTACCCTCGGGCGTCGTCGTCCAGATGGCCTGCCGCGGCGGCGCGGGGGGCACAGCTGCGAAGTCCGACTCTCCGACGAGCTGCTGGTTTAAGCCCAGGGGCCTTGCCTCGAGCTCGGCCTCCCGGGCCCGTTCCCAGGCCCCGACCTCCGGCGATACAGTGGGGACGTTGACCTAAGGAACGCCAAATAAGCAACGAGGCCCCTTTTCTCCATAAGCTAAACTTCGATTTCCCATCGAATACCTAAGGAAAACCTGACTGAGGCAAGCTGCGAAACACTTAAGGAACGCGAAGCCCCTCCCCAACGAAAAGGGCTCCTTCTTCAGGGCCCCGACTGTAGGCCCGAAGGGGCGAGAGACTGCCCATGGGGAACGGGTCGGGGCCTCTTGGGGCCGCGCACTGACAAAATCACATCGCAGGCTGCCTGGGAAGGGAGGAGAGAGCGGGCGAGCGATCACCACTGCGGACGGTCGTCTGGGCCTGGCCGAGACCCAGTGAGCGCGGCTGGGGCATCTGCACTGCGCTGACCGCCGTGCCCATGTGGCGCGAGGGACTTGAAAAGAGGCTGTCAGAAGGGAGGAGGAGGAGAGGCAGGTCTGGCCCCAGATGTGGGAGTCGACGAGTCGGCGGCCGAGGTAGGAGGGGAGGAAGGTTCGAAGATCGAGGACCGAGGTTCGAAGATCGAGGACCGAGGTTCGAAGATCGAGGATCGAGATTCGAAGATCGAGATTATAGGGCGCTGTTGGGCCTCCTGGGGTGCCCGCGTGGTCACGGCTGGATCCGCCTCGAAATTCTGGTCCAAAAGCATGCGGCGAGATGTTCGGGGAGCATTTGCCTCCCGAGCCCAGATCCTCTCGCGGCTTATAATTATTTGTTTGTTTGCTGTTTCAACCATTTTCGGCTTACTCGTAATCCCTTTAGAATCATCCTCAGGGTGATGGTGTTGAAGGAGCCTTTTTGAGAAGCGAGGGGCTTTGGTTTAAGATAGCGCCTATATGAAATGCAAGGGTTCATTGAGGAGCCTTGGCGTGATCATGTTCTGCTAAACGTATGCGCATGCCCTCATGCAGCTCCGTTTTCGTGGCCACCGCCCTGCGGATCATTAGCCTCATCAGAATCACCACCCTCGTCGTCATCGTCAATGCCACCACCATCATCGTCATTGCCACTATCATCGTGGGTGGACAATCACCGTCTTCACGCTGGGGCCCGAGGACGCGACGGGCAGCCAGAAATATGGTGTACAGGGCAGTTTTTCATACACGTGATTTTTAAACTTTATGATTTTAATACATGATCAATTTAGGAATAAGTTTATGCATGAAACTATCGTTGTTTCAAAACTAAATCCCTGCATTTTTCATTTCATGATCCGCACGCGGAGCATGTATAAAAAAACGGCACTGTATCATGCAACAGCAAAGGGAGGCACTTTCCAAGAGCGCGCATCACGCATAGTGCGCAAGGTACCTGGGCGCGCAAAGTGGCGGAACACATCGCAGGGCACATCATCATCGTTGTCGTCGCCGCCCACACCGTTGCTTATCCCTGTCCTTGCTGCGTCTGGCCATTCACAGAACATCCGTGCATATCAGTGTACAGCGCAACGCCTAGGATTCAATGTGGTCTCCTAGTTGTGTCGTGAGATGCCGGTCGTTGGGGTCGGCCCGCTGTCGCCCTGGCCGGCTTGTCTGCTCATTCTCTTAACATTGTCTTCATTGAAATGTGTCTTCTGGCCCGAACTCCACGCTCGCAATGCAATCCGTTGCCGTCGCTCTCGTTCACGCGGCAGCATTCCAGGTAACACTTGCAGTTTCGCCGACGGTCGGATGAATAAGGCGGCCCCTGCGGAGGGGGGTCCGGGAACTGAAGTTGCAATCGAAAGATGGTTTTGGGAAGGAGCGCCGTTGAGCAAGGGATGGCGAATACGGGGTCATCCAGGGGCCTGGGGCTGTCAAGAGACGTTCGAAACTCATGTTCTGTGGCTTGTTCGTCTTCTTCTTAGAATGATGGGGCCGAGAACTCCAAGGGTCCACGCTACGAAAAACACGTCGGTGGTGTGGGATTGGCTGGGATCAGTGGACAAACTCAGCGAACCTCTGGCACGCTTGTTGCATTCGCCGCCCCAGCGGGGGTGCACGCACAGGGCCCCAGGACTCCAAGAAGTCTCACGAAGGCTTCTCGGCAGGCTCCAGAAGGGGGCCCAAGACTCCGTAGGGATGTTGGGCCTCCTGGAAGGCTCCTCTAGCTCGATCTTAGTTTCGACCGCTCAACATACTGTTGTTGAGTTCCCATTTCTATAGAATTACTGTTGTTGATTTACCCCCCCCCCGGTGCCAACTTGTTTTTTCTACTGAAATGTCCCTCCTGGAGCTCGCGCCTTCTTTCATACAACGGAAAATATTAAACGTCAGAGTGTGTTGCTGGCACCCTGTTTGCTACAACAGCAGTTGCCGCCTGACACTTCTTTCCAATATATTAGAAATCGCGCTCTCGCGCAAGACGTCGTCACAATTTAACAAAGAATTGCGCTCTCGCCTGGGATACCATATACCTTTGCAATTTACTAAGACGCTCGCCCTCGACACTCAGGCAAATGCTCTCGCTCTGAACTTCCTCACGATGTACATGGGGATCGCGTTAACGATATAGATTTCTTTGCGATTCGTGCAAACATGAAACTTCACCGGCCAGCCCGCTTGACCTGGCCGTCTGGGCCCGCCCTCCCGACCCGCCAATTAGGGTCCGCCCGCCCGGCCCGCCCGTCCGGCACTGCCGTTTGCGTTCCTATGTTTAACCACCCTCCTGCTAATGGTTTTCGTGTTCCATCCTTGTCTCTCCCCCCTGCCCATTCTTTCGTCCCTCCTTTCCCGAACTCCTCTGTTTGTCGCTACATGTTTGTGTTTCCCGTGCCCCTCCCCTTCCTGTTTTAAGGACTGCTCCAACTACGCGTCGCAGGTTATGAAGATCTGCCCCCAAGGGGTACGATCAAAAACGAAGAAGACGGGAACACCGATGGCTGGGAATATACATGTTGGTTGAAGCGCGATCAAATGATTTTCTTTCCCGCGAAGAACACAAACACCCGATGCCTGCTCATGGGCAAGAACCTGTCGATTGAGAGTCAAATCCGCTTCCCCTCCACGGGGCTATAGCCGCACCCAGTTATGACTCGATAGCGGCAGGGTATTGCGTTGGCAGGCCGGGTAAACGTCACCACATGCAGGGAGGAAGGGGAGAAGGAAGGACGAGGACAACGACAGAAGGGAGAGACGGCCGCGCGGTGGCCAAACAAGAGACTAACACGAGCATCCGCTGCTTATAGGTTCGGCCATGGTCAGATGAACAAACACCGGCGGAAATAAGAGGACAGGGGAGGGAAGAACGGGGGTGAAGGATAATGGGGGACGGGGGAGAAGAACGTAGCCTCCGGGCCAAAGCGGATGCATTAAACCGAGGCGTGCGCGCTTCCTCATATGATCGGCATGCCACTCAGATAATCAGACATCACACCACCGCAAACAAGGAGGCACAGTACAGCACAGCATGCAGCAACTAGTGGGAATAAGTCCCGAATCCCAGCATGCAAACAGTTGGTATACTTGCAATCGCTAAATCCACGCGCTCGGCAGGCCAGTGAGCGCGGATAGTAAAAAGCCAGGGTGAGGTACTTGACCGTGAGGTAATAAGCTGAGAACCCTGCTCTTAGGATAAAGTCGGCGACGCATCGCAACATCCCATTACTCACCCCTTGATGGCAACCAAGACGAGAAATAAGAGATCTGATGCAATGATCCGATCGTGTCTCACTGTCGTGAAAATAAGCCGATGGGGCAGCGCCACCTTCTGCCAGGGCAGCGGCGGATATAACTTTCGATATGTACTGCGCCCCCCACCCCCACCACACCTCCCCTAAGCCCCTTTTAAATCGGAAGGGGGGGGGGGGGGGGCGCTAGACCCGGCCCCGAACAAATTAATGCAAGTAAACAAGGAAGATAGGGATATCGTTTTTTCCCATGTCCCCAACAACAGTGCAAGGCAAGAGCAAAGCAGCGCGGCGCGCTCGGGCCGGTCGCGGGCAACGCCGCGCGACCGGCCGCGTAATATCATGGGCAAGTCACACGCTACACCGCGCGACTGCCCACAGATGATCAGGGGGGCGCCTGGCCAAACCGCCGAAGTCAAAACGCGCGCAATAGGAAGGGTGCCCGACAGGCCCGTCGGTTTCCCAAGAGGAAATGACCCGTGTCCAGGCTGGCCCGTATCCGAGCATGTAGGTGCAGTAAGCCAGTGGCCGAGCTTGGATTGACTACGTACAAATAATTCGGTAGCCAATCGTATACCTATCCGCTAACCCTGACTTGGGCACCCTTCAGTTGATGCTATCTCTTTGTTGCCTCGATAGGGCACGTGCTTCTGTGCCGCGTTTGTGCGGGGCTGATTGTCTTCCATGACTTGCAGCAGTAACGCGCGATGAATGCATCCCTTGGCCCGTCTGCTGTCGCATTCCGCGCGACTGTCCACGGCGAGCGAGACTTTGTCCATCATTTGTCTGCCCCAACAGGGCGCATTCGATCGAATTCTTCAAATTCTCACTTGACAAGAATTTGAAGACCGACGCAGCACCTATGGCAACGATGGTCTTGCTGCTGACGCCACCTAGCTCTAAAATGCAATTTCTTTGCGTTGGCGTCTCGCGGGCCAGCTTCGAGCTCGGGCAGCGCCGCGATGGCAGGTTAGCTGTCTTCAAGATTCTAAGCTGCTGCCAGCGCATCAGCCGAATAGCTGGGCCGCGCGTGCAAGCGGCACGACGAGCTGCGTGCATCGGTCCTATGTACTACGGCCTGACCATCAGGTGCGTGTCCACGCGGTAAAAGGTCGGCCCCTCGGACGCAATGCCCCTCTGCCTCGTCATCTCCGTTCCCGTTGAGGCGACAGTAGCCAGAGTCGCTGTGAGGGCCCACTTCTCTGTCGGAGCCAT